AAGTTTAATAACGAAATAATTTATTTTTAATTTAATAATATAATATTTTATAAAGACAATAATTAAGTATTCTGTTAGAACTCAATGATTATCTTAATTATATTTTAGATTTTTTATATTTARAATGAGATGTTTATCATGTATTTGATTATGTTTATCTGCAGTTAGTTACACGAATTCATATATGGAGCTTTAATAAGTTGTACGTACGTATAATCTACTTGCAATATTGAGTTTTAAGTAATATACATTAATAAACAGTAATTTACACATAAAAAATAATTTTTAAAAGTTTTTATCAAATACTTTATAATATAATATAGATATAAAAGTCGTTCGACTAAATAAGAAATTAGTTGAAGTCATTTACTCTCATTTGGATTTGGGGATGATGAATCGCCACCTTTTTTTGGTAACATTTTAAAAATCATTTAAACTAAAGCAACTAAATTATTATCATAAAAAGAAAATTTTATTTAACCAAAATAAAAATATTTTATTTTAAACAAATCCAGCATGTAATAGGCCACACGTAGCTCTACCTCATTATCATTTTTTAAATTAAAGTATTATTTTTTATCATTAAATTATTTAATCATAAATAATTGTTTTTCTTGAACTTAATTTTATATTATCATATTTATAATTTGTTTACAGTAATACATGTATCCAACTTATTCATTAAGAGTATGTCATTGTGAAAGTTATAGTGTCGTTATTTTAAACACATTATTAAAAGGATTTGTTATCTCCGACATCATCGTCATATGTCGAACAATCTGTTACACATCTATGTGAATCATCACAATATTATAATGAACATGCATTTTTCAGGTATACCTTTCACCATAGTCCCTAGTGGCGGACTTATGAAGGACCTGGGAGGTCCTTGGCACCTGTTCAACCGATTTTCACAAGTAGAATTTTTTTGGAATGTGAAATGTGCATTTGTTAAATTTTCAGGGGTAGTCGGGATATTAAAAATACAAGAGACATCAACCTGAAAACCGGAAAAAAAAAAAAAAAACATTTTAAATCAACCAAAAAACCTAAAAGTTCCTTGAAATCAACTACAAGAAATTGGAAAAATCTCTCGAAACGGTTGAATTCAACTAAAAAACACCAAACTTACATCTAAGGCATAGTCTTGCTGAAAAGATAGAATACATTTGGAAAAATGTATTTTAGGGTTTATAGTTTAGGGTTTAGGGTCTCAAAACGAGGCAATTGACTTTTCCTTGAATCAACACACGTTAACTTTTTTTCATAAGATAAAACCGGGCCCTTATGGGCCTTTGATTCACGTTTCCCATTCGGCAAAATTATTGGATCTGATACTGCTTTCACCCATCACTCACACATATATGCAAATCTCCCCCCCCCCCCCMCCCCAAACTCTAAACTCATATAACCACCCACAAGGGTGGTGTCTGATTGGTTTGAGCTTAGCTCCAAATGTCAAAAGTACCAGGAGGTCCCAGGTTCAAATCCAAGAAGGAATGAGAATCCTCTTGTGGCCACGGAGGTTCAAATGCAGTGACTCTGGGCTATCTGCAAAACAGGTGGTCGCCCTGAGATTAATAGCTCACATAGCAGGTTGAATATCCAGGTTCAAAAAAAAAAAAACTCATATAACCCATTTACCTTGAAGTAATGTGTACATAACATAGACAATCAATATAAAATTCTTCAAATGAGTTGAGAGTTGGAGACTAGAGAGGGATACCAGATATCTATTAAACAATAACGTCACTGATAAATTGTGCACCTGTTACCTGCCTCTAATATTCATAGAGATTGGAGAAGCATATCTATTAACCAACAATGTCAGGGATAAGAAAAAGATTGACTTAATTGAATAATGACTAATATTAAGCATTTTCTTGTTTCAATGACAATGCTTAACACCAATTAGGAAAGATTAATCACCTCTGGTCTAAATTAAAAACCGCATAAATAAATAATCACTTAACTGAAAATGAATATATTTTTATAAGTTAATCGAGCTTGAGCCTCTTGTTTTTTTTTTTTCTGGGCCGAGCTCGAAAAACTTGTTATCCGACCCAAGCCATCTCATTTGAGAAATTAAATATTATTTTTATCTCTTAAATATTAAGTTTTAATGGGCGTTTTGTATAAGACAGTAATCCGTAATTGTGATATAATTGTTGATTAAACGTATCTTAAATATTCAAAATTTCTATTTTAAGGAGATGATTTTATTCAATTAAAGAGTAAATTACCATTTCCATCCTCGTGGATTGTTAATAATTTTAATTTTTATCAATACAGTTTAGAATTTACGGTTTTTGTCCATGCAGTTTAAAATTTATGATTTTTGCCCTTATAATTTATATTTTATTGCTATTTTTATTTATGGACTAATTTTTACCTTTAAAGAATAAAGAGACCAATAACAACAAAGAATTATAAACATAAGAACCAAAACAATAATAAATTGTAAATCATTAAAAAAAATAACAACAATAAATTATAAACCATAAGAATAAAAACACAATTTCTAAACCAAATTTGTAAACCAGATTTGTCAAAAGTCTTAAAAACAATTTTTAATGCACAAAGTATTATATATTTATACAGAAAGTCTTAAAAACAACTCATAATGCATTAAGTACTACTACTTTGTGCCTTCAGTATTAAAATATCTTAATCTACAATTAAAACAACATATAATACATGTTACTAATGGACAATATTACTTTTTCTTTTCATGTTTTCAATATACTTTTGACGCCTTTCACTTATGTCTTCACTCTCTCATACCTCTATGTCTTCTCCCCATCCCCAATTTGAGATTCAAATTGATATTCACCATGAGTTATTAAAAGTTCTCACATTCATCTCTCATTCAATTGCTCTAGAACTGTCGGTCTCAATCTCGATCTCTTGATTTTTTGCTCTTGGTGTAAATCGAATACATTTGTGGAGTCGTTTAAATATATTGGATTCTAAACTATCATACAATTTTTTCCATCGATAAAATGTAATTGGAACCTTAACTCTTATTTATTTTAATTGTATCAATATGTAAAGACCAAGTGCAACTTATAGAACATTAAATATTCTCTAATAAAACCAGTGAAACTTCAAAATCGTTAAAATTTATGGCTCCCGCCACATTACACGGATATATAACTAGTTTTTTTTAACAAATCAGAGAAATGGAATACGTAATTTACTCATTTATTAATTAAAAAATTAGGAAAATTATCCACGTGTGAAAGTAACAAAAAGAAAAATGAAAATGAAAAATCAGGTGTTAAATTCGGTGACTGAAGAGCGAAGAGGAATCCATATTTCCCCCAGCTTTGAAACTAGGGTTTCAAAATACTAAAATCGCCGATGGTGGCAGCTGCGATCTGCCGGCGGCTCCGGCCGAGCAGACATCGCTATCTCCTTTCTCAAAGCCCTACATCCTTCCGTGAATTCTCCTCTTCGAATTCTGACGATAATCATGAAAATGGAACTCCACCTTCACGATCACAGTCTTCTTCTTCAATGTCATCTTATTTCGATGACGTGAAAGCTAGTTTGAGACAGACAGCGCAGCCTCCGTTACCGCCTCGAAGGCCGTCGTTATTGGATTCTACTCCTAGAGCTGGTGATGCTCCAACTCGGAAGGTCGATTCTCACGAAGAAATCCGTAAACATCTTTCCGAGTTCCGCCGCTCCCCTGTTAAACCACCGACATCCTCTTCGCCAACTATATCGTTACAGGAGCTTTACAAACGGAATGTACTGCAGCAAGCTGGCCCGGGGTCTAGCTCCGAAGACCGTTCCAACATGGTGCCGTTTTCTCTGAAAACAATTAGTCAGAGCTTAAAAAACCAGGCGACGAGTTCATCGCAATCGCAAAAACCTGAAGTTCCAGGTAAGAGGTCAGTTATTGGCGATGCTTTTAGACACAGTTTGAAACTGCGACCGCAGGATTTGAATCAGCAAGTGCCGGAGTCGATTGGGAAGGATAAGAAAGATGTGCTGTCGGATGAGATGAAGACAGAATTTGTGAGGAATTATAGCTACGGGGATTTAGGGAAGAATCTGAAGAACTTGAGGCCTGAGGTTAAAGGTGGTAAGAAAATTGGGTTTTCCTTGGGAGAGTTGAACGAGAGGCTTAGGAAATTGAGGGAACTTGACGAAGAGGAGAACAGGAATCGCCATGGCCTTTATATGAAGGAATTGAGAGTGAGTCTTTACCATCTTTCTCAAGATGAGAAGAAGACCAAGCCGAATGCAGGTATGTGCTTCTATTTATAGTTAGCATATATAATAACATGGTTCTTTTGTTTGACAATGTTTGTATATGTAATCAATAATCCTAGATTTCGATTAAATTTATTTCAGGAGTCTTATGAATGCATGGTCCTTCTTTTCAAGCAATATTAGTTAAGATGGCTCAGTAAATATTTAATACTACCCTAATGCCTAGATATCTATCTAAATATGCCACTATTGTATTACAACTAAGAGAGTTGGATACTACTGTCCGTAAAAGATAAAGGGAGTCCAGAGAAGGATATGGAACCGCCTTCATGCTTGAAGGAAATCGTCAAATTGATCTAGAAAGCTTTTGTTGCAAAGAAATTGGTGATTTCGTGATTGATTTAGAAGTATGATCGTTAGATAAGCATTGTTGTCTAATGAAGACTAGGAGCCATTGCTTCCTTTTTTTTCCTGGATCCTTTAGTATTTTTAGTATTTCTAAGTAACCGAGCGTTTTCTCTCTTTAATTAAGAAAGACCAAAACTACCTCCAGCTACCTGAATTTTTATACCCTTCGCACTTATCAACAATTTGCACTTTACATCAAAAGTTGCAACCTCAACAAATTTCACAATGCTGCACCCAGTTTTGGAGTTCGAAAGGGGAGCTGTGCCCCTGCAATGTCTTGTAATATGAATATTTTAGACAACTAAAATTTGCATGTTTTGTCTTTTCATCCTGCCGATCTTGAGTTTAATGCTTTTCTTAGAAAGTATAATCTCATATAGATGGGAACATGGGTCAGGAGTATTCAAACTTTTGTTCTGTTAGTGTGTTTATATGCAAAGTATTGCTGTCAAATGTTGTACTACAAGTTCTTTGACACTCTCTTACAAGGATCATACTGAAATTGGTTATGCAGATACTTATGTGTCTTCTCGATTGTTCTATCATAAAAATGCATTTCACGTTTCTTTGTTTGCCCAGATTTCTTAGAGAAAAAAAAGCTTGATCTCTAAAGTTCAATTGCAAAATTAGGTCTCTTCGCTTTGCTTGTAAAACTTCAGCTCATTTGTTTTGCTGGGCATTAGATCATACCATTTGATTGTTTACTTTATTAGATTAATTGTTTTCGTAATCCATTTTGGAAAAAAAGTGTTTTCTAACATTTGCTGTTGTACAATGTGTGTGATGAACTGTGTCTATCTTCTACATACTCATCGTACATTTCTTTCAGCTCAGAGACTTAGCGTACTGGGTCAGATTGTTGGGACTCCTAATTTTATGTTATCGCCACCGAAGGAAAGCTTAGTTGAAAAGGTTGTGTTTATGAAGCAAACTCCCTTATTTTATTTTACTTTAGCATCAATGAATTACTGATCCATACTGGCATGTAGTATATATACTGACAAGGGTATACAAGGGATTTCCCTCCTTTCAGCACCTTGGAGCTCATTTATACTTCTTGTAGTGGTATAAGATGATTTTAGCAAGCTCCCATATTATGTCTATGTTTCAGTCTTTAATATTTTGGCTATCTATACTTTTGGGCCTTCATATAGTTGAATGTCTGTACTTATTCTTTACGTGTTCCTTGAAGAGGATCTGGGTCTGTGGTCAACATGGCTTCACATTTGGCATCATGTGTGAGGTCTCATGTTCAAGCTACCTGCTAATGGAATTGTTTTCTTCTCTAGGTCTTGCTCAATTGATCAAGTCAGATAGTACTTTTGGTTGAACATATGTAGAAACATTAGCCAAATATTTGGCTAACATGGTCCCTCGTTGAGCATCTGAATTGAATTCTATTTTAGATGAGACATTTATGCTAAACTAGATAATCATGACTCACGTGTGTTACTATATTAGGTAGGATGATGGGGTTCTTCTAACTTTCAGGAATGGATCATGTACTTCGATTGTAAAACCCTCGATTTCGTTAGGAAAAAAAATTCAAGATTTGGGTAGAGCTGATTTTGATAGTGCATGGAGCTGAAATGACTCAAGTTTTTCATTTTGTATTATCATTAATAATTGAAGTAATTTATATTTTTATATGTACAGTACTTCCATCCAGATCACATGTCATCTTCCGAGAAACAGAAGCTTCAGCTTAAAGAAGTCAGGGACAAATTTAAGATGTCTGAATCTGACTGTGGATCCGCTCGTGTTCAAGGTATAGTCTGATTTCAGCTTCATTAGCTACTTGGATAAAAACCATTATGCGTCTTTACTTAAAATGCAATAAAACATTTGTGCATTCGGATTTTGGTATCGTAGACTTGGGTTTTTGGCTCAATTTTCCTCAACGGACTGTATATTGTACAAAAATCATCTACATTTTGTTTTGGCTAGGAGACTAGTAACCATTACCAGGATTCCTGTCACATTATGCCCTAGAAAGGCATTCATGTTTTGAAAACATCAATAGAATAGGTGAACGATTCACTAATATATTAATAAAATGGGCAAGTTGCATGAATATGCAACATACTTTGATGTGATTCCTATTTTTTGTAACATACTTCCAAAACCTTCATTTTGGTACCTCAGATGTGACATTACAAACAGTTAAGGTACTTGATTTACATTTGAGAATGAATAAAATGCAACCCATTTTGATCCAATTCCTATTTTGTGTAACGTATTTTGGTCTAGATGTTTGAGATATCACACATGAGGTACCAAAATGAAGGTTTTGAAAGTACCCTACACAAAATAGGAACCGGAACAAAGAAGGGTACATTTTCATGCAATTTGCCTTGATGGAAACCGATGTTTCTATTGTTCTGTTTCAGTAATGACAGTCACAGACTGACCTTATTTTTTTATATATTTTATGGCAAGTAGTCACATCTCTTCTCTTAAGTTTTTGAGTCCATTAGATGCATCCTTTTTATCTTCTTTTTCTGAAGGCAACATGATTGGTCTTCAAGGACAAAACACATGAAGCTCCATTTTTCTTTATATGCGAGTTATTGATAAGTCTACAAAACCATAAGATGAATCTTAGGGCCCGTTTGGTTTGACGGAACTTTTTCCAGGGATTTGGATTTCGTGGAAGGATTAGAGATCTTTAGTGCGTTTGGTTTGTAGGATTTTGAATGGAACTGAATTCCATTCTCTATAAGTAATTTATAAAAGCAAATTATAAAAAATTATAATAATAAATAAATTACCTCTTTATTAAATGATTATTACAAAACAAGTGCTTTAATATATTTTAAAACAGTATTACAAACCAATCCTGTGAAATCCTGTAAAATACCAACTACCCCGTGGGATTTCTAAATCCCATGTTTGTGGGATTTTCAACCCCAGACTTTCCTTTAAACCAAACGCGGGATAAGAATGGAATCCAATTCCAAAGCCCACCAAATCCCACAAACCAAACGGGCCCTTACTGTAATGCTTCATTTCGCTTATTTTCCATTTTCAAATCTGTCATCAAATGGAATTTCAGCAATGATTTTTGCAATTTTTGTTCGAGTTTGCCAATTACTTCTCCAAAAGCATTGAAGCAACGATGAAGTCATTCAAAACCGTGCTTGCAGTCAATACTTTTCTATTATAGGCATGCTTTTATAAACAACAGAGTGTCTCCTTATGTCTGCGACTGTATGCCAACGTTTTGTGCCTTCTTTTCTTATTATTTTCAGTGGCACAACTCACTACAAAGATCAAGCACCTTGCTACCATTCTACACAAAAAGGTAACCATCTAATTTATATTGTAGCAAAAGTGTTTAACTGAAGTTCCTTTGCCTATTTTTTCAATCAGTTGTATGCTATTAAAACTTCTTTTCTAGATTACGAGTCCCCTTGTACATGGAGCAATTATTGAAACTCATCATGGGCTGTATCTATACTATCTTATAAAGCAATTAGGTAAAACTTTTATATTATAAGGGTACTTAATCTATGAAGCAGTAAGTAAAAATCACTAATGCATCAAGAGTTACGGTTTATTGAGAAAATTTTGGATGAAATCATGACACACGTAGGCAGGGCAATAAAAGGTGGAGTGAAATTCACCGAGGCCTTGAAACCAAAGCCTCCCAATTAATTGCACTTTAAGTGTTTATTTATTGAGGATTTGGGGGTGGGTTGAGAGATTAGTGTGATGTAGTAATTTTTCTCATATTGGAGATTCTTTTCGGTGGCCCTTGTTCCCCAAAAAAGTTGGAGCATCTCCAACAGCTATGCTATTTTAGAAATTTTGAATGGAGAAATCTCCAAATTTGGAAAAGGAGATGAAATATAACATACCTGTTGGAGATGCTCTTAAAACAATTTAGCATATATAGCCATAGTGAATGCTATAATTCACATTTTGAAAGGCATGAATACATGATCTATATTCTATAGTACTCCCTTCGTCCCAAAATAAATGTTCACAATAGAAATGCCACACAGTTTTACACATGCATAATTATAACACTTTTAATTAATCAAATGACAACTTTACCCTTAATTAATTTATCTCTCTTCACAAAGTCTTTAATATTTGTGCATTAATTAAGGGTAAATTTGAGATTTTAGTTATATAATTTTGAAACTTGACACTTATTCTGGGACAAACATGAATAGAAATGTAGACACTTTTTGGGATGGAGGGAGTAATAAATAACTATGGCCAATGTCCCAAAAAAACGAAAGAATCGGTTACATTTTTTATATGATCTTCTTGTATAGATAGACTTGTAAAATAGAACATAGTACCCACTGAGCTAATAGCCCCTCGTGCGATCCCCCTCCAAAAGCGAGAGAAGCTCTAGAATGGAAGAACGAAAATGGATTCCTGGAGATTTAGGGCCTGATTCTTAGCAGCTTAATGAGACTTGCAGTTTACGCGGTCAGCTATAGACGACTCTAGTGTTTGGTAGTGGCATAGAAAGTGGCTTATTCAGGAAGCTTCTAGGGGGAGCTTTATGCAGAAAGCTATGATTTTTCCAGTCATGTCAATCCGAATTAATAAAATGCTCCTTCCATCTATGAGAAAACCCTTCCAAACTATATAGATAGATTAATCCACACAGACAACTTTAACCATACAAGACTTAATGAAAAACCAACCAAACAAACCCCGTAATTACTCGATCGCCCAGACATACATTTCAGATTTTTTTAACGATTTAGCATGTTTAGCCATTTCCCAGCTAACACCCTTGGTATGTGAATAAACTTCCATCAAATATATGTTTCATTCAATTCGTGTCAACCATGTCCTGACATGATCATTACCCTGTTTTTTTGATTTTGCTGTAAATAAGACGATGAAAATGGTGCAGGATAAACATTCTCGAAAGGGTCTTCAAGCGATGGTACAAAGGAGGAAGAAACTACTGAAGTATCTTCGAAGAACCGACTGGGATTCTTATAGTTTTTGTCTTGCAGAACTTGGTCTTCGAGATAGCGCAGATTACAAGCTTTAAATTCCGAGTTAACGTTTGCTTTTCACATCATAAGGATTATAAACATCTTTCCATTCAAGGGTTTGTACCCTGCTTTCTTGCAGCAGACTCCCAGTCATGCACCATAGATTCTCTACCTATATTTTTCTTTGAGGTAGTGGCAAGATATACTAGGTTCGCTTGATCTATATGGGATATACGGGTCCGTTTGATTTAGTGATTTAATTCGTCTGTTCGTCCTTTTGATCGGTGCTTTCTAAAAGCGCTAATAATCAGCCCTTAAAAACTGTCTTGTATGGTTTTCTTGGTCTTTTAAGGATGCATCTGGTATGCAGATGGGATTGGACGGACAAGAGTGAGGTAGGCTGGTGAAAGAATCGTGGAAGGTTTTAGCGTTTTATTTGATAAGGACAGATTAGTAATTTACTAATTTTGTCAAATCCCCCAGATTTTTGTTCCATTTATTTTGATACGTTTTGCTCCACTCAGTCATGACTTGTCCTATTCTAGTTTTGCAATAAACATGGGACTCGGGGGGGGGGGGGGTTAATCGTGTTGCTATAGCCGTTGTACAACGTTTTGCGGTTCTTGAGAAAATAACGGTGTTATTTGCCAAACTTTTGAATGCCAAATATCACACATTGAATCTTTACTGCAGTGAATGTTTGATGGTTTTTTTGTGTGTTTACAGCAAAATGCTGTGAAGGTTCAGTGTTATTTTATGGTATCATAAAAATAGGTTGTTTTATTATATGAACCGCACTCCTATACATCACGATAACAGGTATATCATGATTTCAGATTTTGACTACTACTAGAACACATCCAAAATTCTGTGGATAGATAATACGACTTTGGTGGATAATTTAATTTAATTTAATCTTTTTTACGACAAGAAAACAGTACACAGATAGTAGCATACATATGCTTAATCTTACTAAACTCTGGTACACTGATAATAACATCTGATAATAGATCTCGACTATTAAGCTGCTGGAGGAGATTGCATCACGGCCGGCGGCAGCCGTGGTTCCGTGGTTGCACTTGCATCCACTGGTGGCAGCATTGTGATTTCTTATGGCTGAGATACTATCGGAACCAGTGGTGGTGCTGGGACGTTAAAGGGTTCTGGCTGCATGCTGTCTTGTGCGGGTGGTGGTAGAGAGATCTCTGGTGGGAGTTCGTCAGCGACAGCCGGTGGTGAAAACGACGACGCCACTAGCGGTGGAGCTGTACTTATATCATGATCAAACGGTGACAGATCAGGGATAAATGGATGTGGTGGTGGTGGGGATGCAACGAGTGGTGAGAAAGACGGATCTGAATCCGATGGTGGAGGAAGGGTGTAGCGTGGCGGTGGTGGGGAGGTGACTAACGGCGAGAATGACGGATCAGAATCCGCCGGTGGTGGGAGGACGACCGGCGGAATTTGGCGGCGGAGGAAAGGCCATTGATCACTACAGACTCCAAAAATTGGGTCACAATTTGGTGATAGACTACGGCGGCGAATGGTGGTTGGACGGCTGCCGACGGTGGCGATGGAGAAAAGCAATAAGAATTGTAGTATTACCGACTTCTGTGGTTTGACCATTTTTGACCATGAAGGGATAACAGCAAAGAACAAGAGTATTTATAGAGGACGTGACATTCAACGCCATGCAAAGTTGCATGGTCATTGGTCAACTCTTGTTTTGACCTTCTAGATGGTTTATTGACATAAGAGTGATCAAAATAGTAAGCTATAAAGATCAAAATAACAATAAATTATAAATTATAAGAACAAAAATAACAATGATTTACAAATTATAGGGATGGAAACCACAACTTTTAAACTACAGGAAAAAAAATCGTAATTTTTAACAAACCATAAGAACGAAAAATGTAATTTACTCTTGACATATTAATTATCAACACAAATTGAATAAGTATTGACATGATTAGCATCTGGTTTGGTGTGTGTTGGTATTGACCGGATATGATTGTAGTAGGTGTTTACTGATAAGATACCTTTATTATCTCGTGCTAATCTAGTAAGTGAAATAATAATGTTTTTTGAAGTGTATAATATTTATATACGACAAATGTAACAAATAAACTCGAACATCCAAATGTGAGGTTTGAACCCCTGACTTCTTAGGAGGTCAGAGACTATGATTTGTTAATTAATTTAAAGGGGTAGATTTGGTAATTTAGTTATTTGTTTGTTTGAAAATAAATACTTATTTTAGGAACAAATATAAATATAAATGTTGACACTTAATCAAATATCAGTCTCCCACATGTACTGGTCTATCAAATCATGGATGGATCCATAATTTTTTTCAAATAATGACACCATTTGACTAAGAAAAAAAAGTACACTAACAGGATTCGAACTTCGGTCTATGGTGAAATAAAAGCCTTGCAAACCAACTTTACCAAATAAAACTTGTTCTCATTGTAATTTCAAAATACATACGGTGACACACAACAAATTAGTACGGTTACACCTTCATGAACTTAATTTTCTTTTACCCTTTGATGGAGAAATAATACGGTGGCATGTGACACCATAACCACTATACTAGGTCCGTCCCTGTATCAAATAGTTGATAAAGAAGCCGGCTAAATGCACCGCTACCTACATTCATTTTATTTCAACTACTTCAATATAGTTCTATCTCGACTTTTATTTAATTTCACGAATGCTTGCACATATTTAATCACTTTTACATTTGTAAATTTGTTAAAGTTTCTGTCACGATGATCAAAATAGACAAACAAAGATCGTTGAAGGCAAATAAAATTTATATGGAAATTTTGTTCTGACGTTCTAACCATAACTTTTATTCTCATTGTAACCTAAGGTCATTTAGGAACAACAAGGGCGGTGCCTGATTGGTTTGAACTTGGCTCCAAAGGTCAAAAGTACCAGGAGGTCCCAGGTTCAAATCCAATGAGGAATAAAAACCCCCTTGTGGCCACGGAGGTTCAAATGCGGTTACTTCGGGCTATCTGCAAAACATGTGATCGTTCTGAGATTAATCGGCTCGCATAGCGGGTTAAAAAAAAAATATCATTTAGGGAAATGACTTTTAATGAGTTTTTAATTAATTCATGACCTTCTATTTTATTAAATGAAAAATCGTTTCATACTCGTGAAAGAGTTATGGATTTAATTAAAATCTCATTTAAGACTATATATCTAAAAATCTCGTACGTAGGATAACCCAACATGGGTCTAATTTGTTCTGTTATTATTTTAGTTTATTCCAAAATAAGTATTTTTATAACAAAATATTGCCTTAAAAAACAAGCAAAACTGTTATTTTTAAACTCTTTCAGTCCCAAATTAAGTATACACGTTTCCATTTTAGTTTATCTCAAAATAAATATCTTCTTTAAAAAATAAGTTATAACTTTCTCATTGTACCATTAATTAGATGAAAAAAGTTTCTCGCTATGAAAATGCACATACTTTTAAAAATATGTAGTTATTACACTTTTTAATTAATAATAATGACAATTTTACTCTTAACTATATAGAATAAAATTTTCTATCTCATAATTAAGATTATAATGAAAAAGTTGACATTTACTTTTAAAAGTAAATATTTATTTTATAATAAATTAAAATAGTAATGTAGACATTTATTTTGAAATAAAGAAAATAAAATATATATCCTATAATATCATCTCAAATAAGATTTTTAAAAAACCGGACGCTAATTATTTCGAAAAAGAAGCGAAAAGGGTGGACGAGTGTTGGGGAGTGTGGGTGTGTGTGTGCAGTTGGGAGTTGAATTCAATAACCCTTCTTTTTACGTGCCATCATTCAATGCAAATCAAGTAGTCAACGCCATTTTTTTTCCACCCTTTGCATTTTTACTCGAATTTTAATTATCCAAATTAAATAAATAAAATTATTTATTAAATTATATAGAGAGAGATTAGGGTTGGATGAGATCAGTCTGTTTTTGTGAGATCTATGAGAACATTTTTTTATACTTGAAATTTTACAGTAAAACGTTATGAATGTAACATTCACACTTTCACGGTGTTTTTTTTTGGGTGAAAGTTCGTTTTTTTTTACTTTCAGAGTTTTTTACTGTGAAGTTTCAAGTATAAAAAAGTGGTCACGCAGTTCTTACGAAAACAAATTGTTCTCACGTAAATTCAACCCTCCCCCACACATATATATATATATATACACACACAGACACACACAGACACACACAGACACATATATATATATATATATATATATATATATATATGCCTAATCAAATGAGAACTAGATAGTTTATGGTAACTGTAAGATCAAATATGAACCGATCATTTTAGATAATTAATGTTATTTACCAAAATAAAATAAATGGTAAATTAGTAAACTGTGTTGATTATTCAATTTACTTTAATTAGTTTAATATTTCAATTTACTTTAATTAGTGTAATTATTTTGATATATGTATATATACACACACATGGACCAAATCTGGTGGCCTTCTCCGGCACCCACCACCACTCCGGTGACCTCCTCCGGTAATCTTGTTTGATCAAGACCCCGTCTCCGATAATCGACCACTACAGATCTACTTGTGACAGTGGTAACACAGTTGGTATTACAGTAGTACCACAATTGGTATCACATTGGTCTCAAAGTAATAACTCACATCTCTCTCTCTCTCTCTCTCTCTATATATATATATATATATATATATATATATATGGGAGAAGAATCATGTAAGAAATGAAGTTATGAAGAAAAGCATATTATCACTTTTAATCTCATGCCAACCATGAATTGCGCTTTAGAAAAGAACTGATTTAAGTGCACCTCATTAATGTTAACATTTAATTAGGATTGATTTATATGGATCGAATGAATGTCTGTTTATAAGCCACAAACAACGCCTCATAAAAAAGGACATTAAGATTAATGACAATTATAATAAACTCAAAAACTTATTAATATAAGAAAAAATTCCCTTTCTTTAGTCTGGCTGAAACATGTATGAAATTGATAACTATGTATGTATGTATGTATGTATGTATGTATGTATGTATGTATGTATGTATGTATGTATGTATGTATGTATGTATGTATGTATGTATGTATGTATGTATNTGTATGTATGTATGTATGTATGTATGTATGTATGTATGTATGTATCTATGTATGTATGTATGTATGTATATGTGTGTGTGTGTATGTATGTATGTATGTATGTATGTATGTATGTATGTATGTATGTATGTATGTATGTATGTATGTATGTATGGAACATTGCTATGAGATGACCTCTACAAGATTACTTCAAATTCAAAATATTAAATGTAATTAACATATTATACATCTAATAATGATGTGAAAGTTTCCTACCCTGACTTTGAACGCGATGTAATTATTGTTATTGGTTTCTTTACGAAAAGGGGAAATTACATAACAAAACAACAAATTTTGGGTGACTTTTAGATGCTAGCGATGTGAAAAAATGGTCTCAGATGTCTAAAACGTTTCACGAATGCAATATAGAATTTCCGAAAATTTGACATATACATGTCCCTGTATCCAACATAGTCATATCATACGATAAAAACAGATCCTTAACAAAAACTTTCTACATATTTGGCATAATAATGCCCATGTAGCAATGTGACTGTGTCATGCTATGAACTCTGTTTTCCTTGATTTCAGGATTTGATCCCCGTCGAGTGAGAAAGCACGAGAGATGGTGGTTTATAGCATAAGGAGTTGCGATCCCCCGATTGTTTTTCTTGCTTCGTGTTCGTTTTGGAATTCCTTTGAAACCATAATTAGTTGACATAAACATATAAAGTATCAGTGAGAAGCTTATTCAAGCTTAAGCAGATATTGATTTCGGTTATAATCCTTTTCCGGGAAAAACCCCCCTCCCTTTCATGTGTTAACACACACATCCTTGCGATCGTGGAACTACGTTAAACCGTTGACTTATTTAGAGGCCGTTTACTAAACGCTTACCCGAGTAAGTGCTTACCAAATCATATTACCTTATCGGATGAATATGACAAAAACCAAGAATCTTACTCGGTAAGAGCAAGACAAGGAACAAAAGTCTTACCCTGTAAGTGAATGCGACGACTCTTACCACGATAAGAGCTTATAATATAAATTATTGCATACGGTGCCGTTTTAATAGACAAAAATCTTATCCGATAAGTAAGTAATAGTGTTTAATTGTACGGATAAGCATTTATCGGGTAAGTTTTTGGTAAACAGCCCCTTACTTATGCTATCTTTAGTTCTTAATTATATATAATGTTATTCATTTTGATTGTTTGATCCAAGTTTTTTTTTATATTTTTTGTTCGTAAATGTTGCATTTTTATTGTTGGTAGGAAGACGGTTGAGTCCCCCTATTTTTTGTTCGGTTTTCAAAAAAAAAGTCCATGTCACTATCTAAATAATATTGAGTTAGATGTTGCATCATCATTGGTAATCAATTAATTTCTAAACTGGTTACCTGCGTACTTAAATGTTTGAAAGTATGTTACCCAAAACTCGAATCAAGACAAAGTATGTTACATTTTCATGCAATTTACCCTAAACACTTAATATATCTTTTGAAAATATGTTCGTCAAAATAAAATAAAATTTTAATAAAAATATTTTATTTTTCATTATGTAATTTGCCATTAATTTTAATAGGCTACTTTCATTTGGTTGGTTTGATTCGGTACTTGGCCACCTACACAATCTTTTATTGTTGTGTGTACCGTACCATCAAAACGACAACACATTGAAAACAAGGAAAAAAAATGAGTTTTTATCATTTTATATATCTTCAAACGAATATAAATAAACGAACGAACAATACCATTGTTCATGTCTGTTCATTTAACTAAATGGACAAAAAGATGTGTACAAATCATAAGGGTGGTGCCTGATTGGTTTGAGCTTGACTACAAAGGTCAAAAATACTAGGAGGTCCCATGTTCAAATTTCAAGGAGGTTTAAAAATTCTCTTGTGGCCACATAGATTCAAATGCGGTGACTCCGGGCTATCTGTAAAGCAGGTGGTCGTCCTGAGATTAGTCGGCTCGCATAGCGGGTTGGATATCCAGGTTAATAAAAAAAAAGATGTGTACGTGTTCATTCATTTTTTAAATAAGCGAACATAAACGAAAACTTCCAGCCGAACGATTCACGAATGATTCGTTGAACATTCGGTTCGTTTACATCCCTAGATACACATGTATGTATCAAGGAAGACCATGCTCTTCCGACCAACTTATGAAAAGTGTGAAAATGGTCGAATTATATGTAATTTTAAAAAAGAATCATATGTGCTATAACAAGTCAAGAAGGAGTCGTACCCATATGACTGGTCAATGCAACCGGGGGCGTGGGAAAACATGCACATAATGGCTGGTCTATGCGGCGTGTGTGTATCATATGTGATTTTACACTTCTCGTAAGTTGACTGTCTTTTCATTTGAACTCGTCCTTATATATATATACATGTGTATATATAGATACATGTACACATGCGTATATATATATATATATATAGATATATATATATATATAATTAAAACAAAAACATAATTGTAAATGACAAAAATACCCCCTCGTTAGCAAAAGAGACAACAATATAAAATGATATGTACAACCTTGTTTTGGAAGCAACAAAAGGAACAACACAAGGAACATGTGACTTCACCCACAACAACAATTGAAGAAATTCAAAATACCAAAAATACCCCTCGATTGGTAAGGGGCAGAATAGGAAAGTCGCCTTTGCATAAAGTTGGCAAAACAAAAAGCTGATAACTTGGTTTTTGCAGCCAACGCATGCCTCCTTTTATAGTTTTGCCAGAAAAGGTTGTAAAGTCAGCACCTGCATCAGAGGGGCATTTTTGTCATTTCATAGCCTCTTAAAACCTCTGAAGCAGTTTTGGGGAAGGAAGGTTTTGATAACCGCCACATGATGGTTGGGTTGGGTGGCAGCCCATTTCCACCCTTTTTCCATGGATAAAGTTATTGCTTTCTCTCCACTTTTTCCCCACCTTTTTATTTTATTTAATTAATTAAATGTAATATATTTAATTTTTTTTATTAACTTGAATATCCAACCCGCTATGCGAGCCGACTAAAGATTAAAATTGTAATAACTCGTTCCGTATGAATAGAAAATGAGATTTATGAGCTTCTTATAAGCTTACAGTTGTGGGCTACCAATAATTTTTACCATGTTTTTAAGTTGAATCAGAAGTTATTAAGTTAGTCTCTTGCTTTTCAGACTTGGAACGTTACAGATAATATCAGAGTCAAGAACCAAATTGGGATGCTAGCAAGAACGTTGGGCTTTAAGGGGGTGGATTTTAAGATCTCACGTTGGTTGAGAGAGGAAAACAGACATTATTTATGATTATTTTTTAGTTAAAACATAAAAATGTAACTTTGATGACAAAAAGATTTTAGACCAAAAGAAAACTCGCTATGCGATTCGACTAATCTTAGTATAATCACCTGCTTCGCAAGTAGTCCGGAGTCATCGCATTTAAACCTTCGTTACCACAAAATATAACTTATTAGCTATATCTTTGTATTATGACAGTCATAATTAATTAATTTTTTTTTTAAACTAGTCATAAATATAATATTTTTAACTAATTAAATAACTAAATCGTCAACAAAGCCACATGATTAACATTTGCTTTTGTCAAATTATTTGTATTAATTAATTTGATAAACAATAATAAAAATATTTAATTGATAAATATTGTGTTTTTATAAAGTCATGTAATTAAAAAAAAACTAATAAAAGTTAGTAATGTCTTCTCTTAATATTTTTCTAATTAATCTTATTAAATAAATAAATAATAATGAAATATGCTTTTAGAAAAAATTTATTCATCTTATAAAGTTATTGTATCATTAATAAGACATTTAAGTACACAAAACAAATCATTAAACTCTTTTTACACTTGTAAAAGCATTTGTATTATCCTTCAAAACATCTATGTGTCAGCCTATGACCATCATGAGAGAGGTAAATTGTAATATCTTAGGAGATGATAATAAAACCAGATTTGAACCCGATACATCGTTTTGAAAACTTAATCGTTTTTCTGCTGGAACAATTCAATGGCTCGGTGATTAAGTCACTTTTTCAAGATCTAGTTACAAGGTTCATCTATCGTACCCTTTCAAACTTGATCGACGATCCAGTCACTTTTTTGGCGGCTACTGAAAACAGGTAACATGGTTCATTTTGTATACAGTAAAAGATAAAAGCTGCCAAAGTCCGTCCATCATGCCACTTTCGACCTTGTCCGCTAACCAAGCCACCTTTTCTTGCATCTATTGAGAACAGGTAATGGGGTTCGGTTAGTATACTGAAATCACAGCTGTCAAATACAAAGTTGCCAAGTTCATTGCACACAACGACAATTTGTATCATTCAAGAATGTGATGAAAATGTACCTTGACTTTGATGATTTTACGAGTATCACATGATTTAAAAATAAGAGTAAATCCAAAAGTACTGATTGAAAAGGAAAATAAACAATTACAAATATAACAATCAGACAAACATAACGATCATGTTTGATTAAAAATGTATTATTTGTAATTAATTTAAAACCCTATTCTCTTTTGTTTTCAAATATATTAATTATTTAAAGTCACATTCGTATGAGAACAGTAACTAACAAAACAAATAAAAGAACGGTCGAATCATATGTGATTTTACACTAAAACCACATGTAAAGTCATACGTGATTCATGCAACTTTGAAGGTCGCGGGACCATGTCGTCCACACACCTTTATGTTGACCGTTAGTGTAAAGTCACATGTGATATTATGCGTGATTTGGTGGTTATTATTAAAGTATCTCTTACAACTATACTAAGATAGAGAAACGAAGGATTTTAGCAATTTATTATTTTAATAACTATACCATCTTGTATGTTAAAATAGAGAAAATACAAGAGAATCATCATTTAGCCTTGATTTATATTCAAATAAAGATTGAATGATTGAATTTCATGGATATTCAAATTATTGTATTCAATTATACATATACATATTATATATATTATATATATATAGAGATAGAGAGAGAGAGTTGAAGAGGAAGAACAATGGGGTAACATTTCAAAATTCAAAGCATGAAACCATCAAAGGACAAAGCACATAAATTTTGGGACTATCCTCCATTCTTAGCTGCCTTTCTCTTCTTTTGTCTCCCCCTTTCCATTCTAAACGAATCTTTCTCCAGAAAAATGGAGATGAATCTTCTTTTCATGATACCCATTTTGGTTTTATGTTCTTTTCCTCTGTTTACACTCCCAATTCATGCTTTTACCACCGACCCTCCTCTTTCTTCCATGGCTGACCCTCTTCTTCCCACTCAGAAAAAACCTCCATTTTCTCAAATACCCACAGAACACGAAGCTCCTTCTCCAGGTATTTCACAGAAAATCTCATCTTTTTTTAAGGAAAATCCTTCTACACTTTGTTACCCACATGCATTTTTACAAATTTGGAAAACGAATCAAATGGGTCAGTTGTTGATCTTCTGTTCCGAGTTCAATGCAGTTCATCTGTTTGATAAAATGGCTCACTCGAGAACTCTTGATATATTGGTCTGAAAATTTTACTTTTTTGATGAACCAAAAGGTGTGATCATGGCGGTTTTGCTTTACAAATTATTGATTAGGTTTCTTGGCAAAACAGGAGTATCAGAAATCAGAGTAATTCACCATGAGGATTTGAACAAGAAGATTCTTGTAGCACTCATTGTTGCTTCATCTCTTCTTGCTGCAATTCTGCTGTTGTTATCATGCTTTTGGATCTATAGGTTCAAATCCTCAAAAAGAACCTCTAATATGAACAAAGCCCAACAAAGTCAAGGTATCTTTATCTTTTTCATTGACCAAAATTATGAACAATTTTCTGATCTTGACCAACTTTTTGTTGTATATACTCATAGATGCTTTAAAAGGGTTGTCACTTGGTCCAATTTTGGATAAATTTAATCCTTTGAGAATGGCTGGTAAGAAGGGATCGGTGACCGTTATCGAATACGAGTGGTTAGTGTCTGCAACAAATGGTTTTCATGAAGACAATATCATAGGCCATGGAGCATTTGGGAGTGTGTACAAGGCTTGTTTTAATGATCATTTCCTTGCAGCTGTGAAAAGAATCCATGGTGGTGGACCAGATGCCCAAAGAGGATTTGAGGTAACTTTTGAGGTTTGATCTGCTGTTCCTACTCTTTGGGGTAGAGGTTTTTGGGTGGATGTCAGATCTGCGGTCTTCATATATCATTATGCCGTTCTACTCTTTGGGGTAGAGGTGGGGTTTGCGAACATCATATTACCGTTCTACTATTTGAGGTAGAGGTGGGGTCCGCATACATCACATTGCCGCTTTACTCTTTGGAATAGAAGTGAGGTCTCCTTACATTATAATGCCGTTCTACTCTTTGGGGTAGACTTTGGGTCTACATACATCATATTGCCGCTCTACTCATTGGGGTTCAAGTCAGATCTGCATTAATCATATTGGACCTCTACCCTAAAGGGTAGAGATCAGGCTTGCGTACATAATACTGCTGCTTTACTCTTTAGGGTAGAGGTTATGTTTGCGTACATCATACTGCCCACTCTACTCTTTGGGCTTTGAGGTAGAAGTCATGTCTGCATCCATCATACTGCCTACTTTACTATTTGGGATAAAGATCAGGTGTGAGTACATCATAGAGTTGCTCTACTCAAGTTTGCATATACATACTATCACTCTAATCTTTGGGGTAGAAGTCTAGTCTGCATACATCATACTATCGTTCTACTTTTTGGGATATCAATCAAGTTTGTGAACATCATACAACCGCTCTACTCTTTGGGGTAAGTCAGACATGCATACATCATATGACCGCTCTACTATTTGGAACAGAGATAAAGTCTGCGTACATCATATGTCGCTCTACTCTTTGGGTTAGAAGTCAGATCCGCATACATCATATTGTTGTTCTACTCTTTGAGATAGAGATCATGTCTGCATGTCTCATACTACCGCCCTACTCTTTGGGGTAGAGGTCAAGTCTGCATACATCATACTGCCAGATCTAGGTCAAGGTGGGATATAATGGGTTTGTTTGGTTTTGAAGTATGATGAGCATACTTCTAAGAACTGTAGACTTCTTTCCAATTATGTGGTTTGTTTGCAGAATGAGATCAATTGTTTAAGCAGAGTTCAGCATCAGAACATTGTTAATCTTTTGGGTTATTGCATACATGGTGAGACCAGGTTTTTGGTCTATGAAATGATGCATAACGGTTCCTTAGAGTCCCAGTTGCATGGTAAATTCTCTTTTCGTTTTTCTAAAAACAACCAACAACCGAAGAACGATAAGGATTGCTTATAGATTTCTTTTTATGTTGCTTGTTTTCTATACTACTAAGGTCCGTCTCATGGATCTGGTTTAAGTTGGCAGCACCGAATGAAAGTTGCACTCGATATTGCAAGGTATAAATTCATTCCCATTGCTCGTATTCATCTTTTATGTTGTTGGATCGTGTTGATTCTTGATTTATTTATCTTTACGTTCTTGGATCTTGTTGATTCTTGATGATTAATATATGGGTTTTTTGTATCTTTTTGGATCGAATAGAGGACTAGAGTATCTTCACGAGCGTTGTAGCCCGCCTGTGATTCATAGAGATCTGAAATCGTCGAACATTCTTCTAGGTTCCAACTTCAATGCTAAAGTAAGTTGTTTACTTTTTTTTCCATTAAGTCCTATATGGATTAAGTTGTCTAACGTATAAATTTGCCTGTCTGTGGGGACGGGAGAACGATGTTCTTGGATCGTGTTAATTTGTTTGAGGCGGCTTAATGGGACAAGTGAGGGATCCTGACTTATTCCCTATAGCCAATTTTGGCTTAATGGTTTAACTATTAAACTGTAAAGAAACACTCCTATATGGATGAGCGAATAAGCTGTAAAGACCATTAAGCTCATTAAGCTGTAAGTAAACAACCCCAACTCATAGTCGTTGTTATTGGAGTTTGTTGTACACAGACCTTCAAACCTGTATATATGTAGGTATCTCGATGATATCTGTAAGGGATCTTTTAGAGAGAGATTCAAGGGGTTCCACTTATCTTAATGGTTACTCCCTGATGAAAAAGGCACACAATTTTAGAAATGTGCAATTATTACATTTTTATATAATTAAATGACAATTTTACCCTTAATAATAGAATGAGTATAATTTTCTGCATCAAGTAGACACTTACTTTGGAAAGTGGACTCTTTTTGTTTTACCTAATGATGTTTGACTCGATTCAGCTTTCTGATTTCGGACTTGCCATCACGGGCGGGATTCATGGCAAGAACTACGTAAAGCTTTCAGGAACGTTAGGTTATGTAGCTCCGGAATACCTCTTGGACGGTATGCAATCGTTCGTTTTCTAATCTTTGTCTACTGTTTTCATTAATTCTAGAGATATAAAACAGTAAATTTTACAGGTAAACTTACAGATAAAAGTGATGTCTACGCATTTGGGGTTGTACTACTCGAGCTTTTGATAGGAAGAAAACCCGTGGAGAAAATGTCACCATCTCAATGCCAATCTATTGTCACATGGGTATGCAATAGAATCGATCATCGTTATCTTAAATCGCCATTAAAACTACTTTTCGAACCTTAAACTAGTAAATGTTGCGTTCGATAAACAGGCAATGCCGCAGCTAACGGACCGATCGAAGCTTCCTAGCATTGTTGATCCCGTGATTAGAGATACAATGGACTTGAAACACTTGTATCAAGTTAGTACATTCTTTTTAATTCGGCTTTAAATCGTTTAATCACATGACTAATCCTTGATTTTTCTTTGAAATATATAATATTTATATACGGCAAATACTGACCTCTGGGGAGGCTGGGATCTACTTGTAACCCGGGAACCGGTGGGCCAATGATCCTTTGGTTTATATATTTTTGACTCAAATTTAACCTTTTTCCCATTTGTTTTTCATAAATAGGTTGCTGCCGTAGCCGTGCTATGTGTACAACCCGAGCCGAGTTACAGACCATTGATTACAGACGTTTTGCATTCGTTCATCCCACTCGTACCCGTCGAGCTCGGAGGGTCACTAAGAATTACCGAATCTTGATTAGATCATCTCTGCACTGACTCGTGTGTGTACAGATTATAGTTTTCATGGAAACAACTGTTTTACTGTTTGGAGTAGAGGTCATATCTGTATACATCCTACCCTAAAACCCCACCTAAAACCAGACAAACCCAATATATCCCACTTGGTGGTGGTGTCTGGGGAGGGTGAGATGTACACAGATCTGACCTCTATCCAACCTCAAACCGTGTATCTGAGTGGAATATACTGAGTTAGTTTGATTTGGTTACGTGAATTGTAATCCATGCATTTATGGGTGTACTTTTACTCATAATTGTTGGATTTTGGCCAAGTACAATGTACATGAGATTAATATTTAATGTGGTAGCCCATAAAACAGCTTTATTTTGTGACTCTACAGGTGGTGGTTGCTTGAAAGCTTCATTCTTACTATTTCAGTTGTCTTAATGTCACATGAATTCATTATGACATTCACATGAATTCGTCTGGAAAAAATGAAGTGTTGTACTTTATTCATACATGAATATTCATCTTGGATTCAATTGGAACTCGAATAATAGTATGGATATTCATAAATGAATAGAATCAAGATTGAATACAATGTTATAATCGAAAAAAGAACATGAGATTCGAGTATAGAATTAAGTTTTTTGTTGTTGCTAAATGTAGATCATCTGTAGCCTGATATCGATGGCTGGCTTATTCCCACGTCTTTGGTCATGGCGATCTTCCATGAAAACCAGACTTTCTTCAAATCATGCATTCCTAATTCTTATTTTTACGTTCTCCAAAAAAATTCGTGTTCTTGGCGACCCTAAACCGTGTAGTGTTGTTGAATGGTTTCGATATCGAGACCCTTGAGCTTCACCACTGATTCGACATGTCCTTTCAGAGTATGAAGCTCCCTCAACCTATAACATTAGATACAGATATCAGGTTGGAGTCTGATATACCATCAAACCTGTACTTTTTCAGAAAGAATTCAAATGAGTTCTTCTACATATCTGTTCAGAATCGAGACTTACCTAGCGACCTCTGCTCGCCTTTTTGCCTGTTCTGCAAGCTCGGATAATTCCCTGTAGTTATTCTTATCTTTCAAGATCTCGTTTGCATCAGGTGCCTGGAGGCCGTGCAGAGTGCGTTGGGCGGTGGCCCATTGTGCTTCCCTCTCGCCACGCCCGTAGTCCTTTTTGGTAGTGAAAGCGGTCTAGATGTGCCCAAAAGTTTAGTAATTAGAATACTGATCGATTTAGTAATTATATTCCACCCAGATATGGGGTCGACGGAAGGTAAGATGTACGCAGTGTTTGTGAAAAGTGTGACAAATAGAGAAAGGAAGAACGGGCTTGCCTTGTTTTGGAGCATATTGTCCCAGGCCTTCCCGCTCAATGCATATCGGATGATAAATTTGAATATATCTAACGGGAAGTAGAAGACGATGCTATACAACCAAATCACACCCGCCCAACCCCAGCCGATTCCCTTCACTCTTGCAAACTCCCAGTCAGCGTAGACAGCGATTAATGTAGCGATCTTCATCAAATGAGATTGTTAGAACACTTGATATACTGAATATATCCCATACAGAGACAGAGGTATGGAAATGTAACGAATAAACTCACCAGCTGTGCTACCAGAAAGGCGAAGCAGAGTAGAAAACCAGGTCGTTCGACGAACGACCAGCTCCTTGACCTGGTGACGAAAATGAGCGCCTGACTGATGATACTAACTTGGAGGTAAAGAGCAGACATAAGCTCGTGTTCGTTGTTTTTGATCGGTTTTACACCGAATTTTTCCTGAAAAATCCATCATGAATACCGTTATAGAGGATAGAATGATACTGCATGTAGAAACCCAACTCAGGATATCCCACACAGAGGAAGGGTCTCGGGGATAAGTGATACTGAATGTGAATCTTGTAAATAATTGACGGTTAATCTTACGGTAAAGAAGTTGGATTCCTTTGCCGCCCAGAAGAAAATAACGGTCATAACGGCTAGGTAAGTGCCGAGGACAATCCCGGTGGCGAAGATTTCCTTTAACTTCCATGAGTCGGGCAACGGGCTCGGCTTGACCTTGTCCTTAGATATGGTCATGATGGTTCCATCGTTGAGGATGGCGATGATCAGAACCATGAAAGGAGAGAAATCGAACCGCCAGATAAGAGCGATCAGCATGAAACCAAGCACAATACGGATGGTGATGGAGACGGCATAGATGGTGTAGTTCTTCATCCTCTGAAAGATGGCTCTGCTAGTCAAAACTGCACTAACGATCACACTAAGTCCCGGTTCTGTCAACACGATGTCCGATGCACTTCGAGCGGCATCCGTGGCGTCGGCAACTGCAATACCGATGTCGGCCTTCTTTAGCGCCGGTGCATCGTTCACACCGTCTCCCGTCATTCCACAAATATGCTTTCTCTCCTGCAGTTTCTTCACAATTTCGTACTTATGTTCTGCATTACATACATAATATAGTTTCAGCTATCATTCTTAAATTCGAGTTTTTATAGGGAGTAATTGTGTATCTCTTACCCGGAAAGACCCCAGCGAAACCATCAGCCTTCTCGATTAGCTCCTCAATCGGGACATTAGCGATAGCTGTATCCTTGTTTTGGCCAAGGAGCGAGGAAGAGGGATACATATTCGTTCCCATTCCTAGCCTTCGACCAGTTTCCTTGCCAATGGCAAGCTGATCACCTGTGATCATCTTGACGTTGACACCAAGATGGAGGGCACGTCGAATGGTTTCAGCACTGTCGTGCCTTGGAGGGTCAAATAGCGGCAACAAACCAACAAACACCCAAGGTCCTCCGGGGCTCTCCTTTGTTTTCTCGGGTACACTCTATATATGAAACCACCCAAATCATTAGTTTTCAAGATAACCAAACAAACTCAGTGTATTCCACACAGATGTAGGGTCCGCAATATATCCCACAGAGATAGGGTCTTGGGAGGGAGGATAGGATATATGCAGATTTTGCAGTTTCTGGATCAAAACATGTTGGAACATCGGAAACATAGAAACTCACCTGTTGGCAAACAGCAAGAGAACGAAGACCACGCTCCGCGAATTTGTCAATTATTGAGAACACTCGATTCTTTTCTTCGTTCTTTAGGTTGCATAGCTCCACAATCTGAGAGATTTCAAGCAAATCAAGTACATATAGGAACAAATCAATGAAGATTACGTTTAATACTTGCAATCTAGAGTAGTTTATCGTACCTGCTCGGGTGCACCTTTGCTCAGCCTGTACCAATTTCCGCTTTGATCTATATACGTTATTGCTGTTCGTTTGTCCACGGGATTGAAGGGCAGAAAATGCACCTCAGTGATCCCTGCTCGTGCCTGCATAAATGAAAGAAACGTTCCTGTTTAGTTTGCACTCTCGAGCACCAGCTCAATTGGCAAATAAAGGCCAGACCTTGGGGATCCTCCCCATAGGTTGCCAGCCACCGGAGATAATTCCGACTGTTATAAAGTTCTCATGGGATTAATTGAGATGCGTGCAAGCTGTCCCAGACACCCATGGTTAAAAAAAACATCTTATATGGTTTATTTTACCTCCTTAGGATCTCCAAGCATTCCTACAATACAAGCATCTATGGCATCTTGATTCTCCACCCTTGAAGCCCTTGCTCCATACAAAATCACTGTGTCTTTATCCATATCCTTCACAAAAACCTGAAGAAAAAAGGGATTTTGTTCAATCTTTCATTGTTAATTTTATGTTAAACTCCACTTGAACACTGACCTCAATGAGGGTTTTGTCAACTGTGAGCTTGTTGAGGGTGAGAGTACCAGTTTTGTCACTACACAAAACATCCATCCCAGCCATTTCTTCAATGGCTGTCATTCTTTTGGTGATGGCACCTTGCTCTGAAAGCTTGTGGGACCCGATTGCCATGGTCACTGACAAAACCGTTGGCATCGCAATTGGGATCCCGCCAATGAGAAGAACCAGTAAATTGTCGATTCCGTTTCTGTAACTTCGTTTCTGAATTGGGTACATCACCACTATCTCGATTATGAGCCCAATGGCGATGGAGCATATGCAGAAGTTACCAATGGCTGTCAATACCTGATAAAAAAATCCAATCCATCACAAGATGTTAACTGGATTTTAGTCGAGAATATTTGGAACCTATTAGATTACTCTCCAAAAGAGTTCTTAGAAAAGAACAAGAGTTTTGGCGTATATTGAAGAGAAAAAGGACCTCCAACAGAGGTAGACAGGTAAAGGGAGGTCTGACATATATCAAAGAGAAAAAAAGTATAAATCTAGCCAATACGAGACTCCAACATGTCCCCTCTAACAGATGTCAAACATGCAAAGATGCCTTTTATGGTAGACATTGGCTTTGATACCATATGAGAATTCGTGGTATCCCATTAGATTACTCTTCATAAGTGCCTTTAGGAAAGAACAGGGTTCCAACATATATTAAAGAGAGAAAATGTAAGTGTAGCCAATTTCTGAATCTAACATGCCCCCTCCTACAAATGTCCTGATGGAAGACATCGGTTCTGAAACTATGTGAAAATATGTGGAAACCACCAGATTACTTTCCAAAAAAACCCTTTCAAGAAGAAGTGTAGCTGAGACTCTAACAAAACTATCTGATAACTAACTGGTACCTTTTGGAAATGACCGACTTGATTTGTGCTATCGACTAGGTGAGCAGCCTTTCCGAAGAAGGTGTGGACCCCAGTAGCTATAACGACAGCTTCGATCTCACCCTGTTTGCACGTTGAGCCGGAATATACGCTAGCACCTGGATGCTTGGTCACGGGTAATGACTCGCCGGTCAATGCAGATTGGTCGATCTTGAGAGGATCTCCCTCTAGGAGACGGGCGTCAGCTGGGATAATGTCTCCCAGTTTGACGCTAATCACGTCTCCTGGAACCAGGATGGATGCTTCCTGTTCGGACCATTTTCCATCCCTTAAGACCTTTGTTTTGGGAGCAAGACCTGCCATGAGAGCTGCTGCAGCATTGCCTGCATTGTTCTCCTCTATGAAACTGATGGTGGAGTTTATGAGAAGCAATGTTACAATTCCAACAAAATCTTGCCAATCTGGAGGCTTTCCCTGCAATTAGTTATTCACAATCAGCTACATATAATATTAATATATATATATATATATATATATATATATATATAAGTTTAAGTTTGAATGAGAATGGATTTTATAACGAGAAAGGTAAGAAGTAATCTCCACCCTCAAATCAATCCTAATTGTAGATAACACTAATAGAATGCACAAGATCAATTCTCGTATCAAGTGCAATTCATAAGATGAGAGTGAGATTAAAAGTGATCAAAAGGTTCAGATGTCTTCTTACGCTTCTCACTTTAACTCATATTCTATCATTTGATCATTCGTAAGTATATATATATTTTTTCAAATTGTTAAATAATAAAAATGTTTTTTTAATATAAAGATACTTACCACCATACAAAGAGCCTTATTTCTCTCTCATTAGAAAAGTACTCGTTCAATACAGTAACATACATCTCGATTTTAATGTTTCGTTTAATTTTGTCTCATGTCTATGTTATAATACGGTTTTATGTGGTTTTGAGAAAACGATAATGTTTTTATTTTTTAATAAAATATAAATTTGAAGATATTATAAAATTTGAATAAAAGATATTAATATTAGTATCAAATTAACTATTTAAAAGCTTTTGTTTTTTTTGTGTAATTTCTTTAATTCAAATTTTTATTATAATTTAATTTAATTTTAATAACGAARTAATTTATTTTTGATTTAATATATTTTTTTACAAATATAATAATTAAGTATTTTGTTAGAACAAAATAATTATCCTAATTATATTTTAAATTCTTTATATTTAAAATGAAATGTTTATCCTGTATTTAATTATATTTATCTGCAGTTAGTTACACAAATGCAAACATGGAGCTTTAATAAGTTGTACTTATACATAATTTACTTGTAATCGTGAATTTTAAGTAATATGCATCAATAAACAGTACTTCATATACAAAAAATGATTTTTAAGAGTATTTGTCAAATGTTTTATAATACAGTATAAATATTCATAAATGAAATGCGAAAAAGTCGCACGTCACTCTCCATATGTTTCATTTGATCAAATATGGTACAATATTTGAACCTCTCCTTTTGCAAATTTATTTATATATACATCAAAACTCAGTATTGTTATATGTATACTTATTTATATCAAAATCAGGTTAATTTATATATTAAAAATGTAAAAAAGAAAATGATATAGCGGTAGAAGAAAGAGAGATACCCCTCCATTGGCCAATACAATAGCCATGATTGCGGCAACCTCCATAACCCATGACAAAGGATTCCACATGAACCCTAAGAACTTGAGGAATTTGCTTTCCTGTTTCAATATTCGCCATTGAAATCAAGCATCAGTTCCATGAGTGTCCGTATAACAAAACGATGTTAGAAATCAAAAATCAATTCATAGTTATGAATCGATCTAATCCACCTTTTTCTCTTCTAATTTATTCGGACCAAATTCCGCAAGCCTCTTATTCCCTTCTTCAGTCGTCAATCCCTCTCTGGTACATTTCAGTGTTTCAAATACCTCGTCGACTGGAACAGTCTCCTGTATTATCAAATCATACAAAATCGCGATTCAAATTCAAAATTCGTAATCCAAATTGGATCATGAAAACCGTCGACTAATCGTTGAAAATCAATTGAAAAACATCAAAATTCGAGAAAGGGAAGGAGGAAGGAGGAATCATACGAGATCGACGTTCTCCTTTTTGAGTTCCTCCCAACTGATTCCTTGGTCTCCTGCCATTGTTGATTGTGGACGTCGTCACCTGTGAGTGTTGTTGTTGATTGTTGGATGTGTAAGAAGCGAATGGGCATTGCAATCTGAAGTGAATGGAGGGATTGGAGGTCTATAAGAATGGTGGGAGAGAGAGAAGGTGAAGGAAGGAAGAATGAGAGTGAAACTAGGAAGGAAGTTGGAGCTTTTTATGCTGCCATGGGAGAGACGTACATTTGTATATCTATGAATGAATCCACTTGTTAGAACTCTGTTGGCTGTAAATTATGCATTTAAACTTGTACATTTCCCCTTATATATGTTGAAGTTATTTCAACATGTGTGTTAATGTTTCCTTACAATAAGTAAAATATAACAAACATGTATAAATAAATACAATAAAAATTAAAAGAATTATACCTTAAATTAACGTATTTTAACTTGATTTTATTTTAAATAACGTATTTTCAAAACTTTCATTTTGATATCTAAGATGTAAAGTTTTAAACATTTAAGTATCCGGTAGTGATGCCAAATCGGCCTGGAACCACCGGAGGACCGGGACCGGCAAAGGCCCGGCCCGAGACGTGTAAGGACATGTTATGGGACCGAAAACATGGATCGGTTGGGGTTTTTGGTAGTTTCGTGGGACCGAGACCGCCGGTCCAACCCAACAATTCAAATAATTTTATAAATAAATGTATTTTCAAATAGTTTTATAATGTATTTTTATAAGACAATGTAATTAATTATATTAAAACGCATTTTTAAAGTATATTTAGGTGACCAAATTGTAAATTTTATAATGTATTAAAAATATATATCATTATTTTTTTTAAATCTTATTTTTTAATGTCGGGACCGGCAGCCCATAAATGGTTATGAAGTACCTTGACCGGTCCTACCATTTTCAACCAAGACCGGTTATAGCCGGTTATGAGAAAGCTTGAGACCGATTAGGCCCGGCCACCCACTGCCCTACTCTAGCCCGACTCCAACCTAGCCCTACTCCACCTTACCCGACTCCAACCTATCACTAACCACCATATATCATTGTAGTTGTCACAGCTACCACCCTGCCACCCACTGCCCTACTCTAGCCCCACCCCTACCGCCTCGCCCACCTTGCCTGCCCCCAACAACCCCCACTTATGGGGCAGGGTTTGGTAGGGGGTGGGTCGAGGTGATAGCTGTGACAACAACAGTAGTGACATGGTGGTTGGTAGAGTGTGGGGTGGGGTAATGTGTGCGATAGTCCAAACAAAGACGATTGTTTCAATTCTTTTGAGAGACTTCATTTCAATTCCTACCAACCAAACACGTGATCAAATTCCATCAAAATTCATTTCAATTCCTTCAAAGTCAAATTTCTTCGATGAATTCCAATTTCATCAAATTTCATTCTATGAACCAAACACCCCCTTATATCATTTTTGTTACCAAATTACTGGCTTGAAGTAATTTTCATAATCTTTTTTATAATGATTTGATGACAGCAAGCTTATGTGATGAGTAAAAAAGATGGAAAGAGGAGTCCAAGAATAGTAATGCTAAGGGAAGAAACATCCAAAGCCCTTGGTCTTTCATGATGGAAGGCTAGCTTTCTGCCCAACACCATTCGCACCCTTGTGCATGTTGCCCTTCGCTATTATTTTAAATATCTATATCTATACTATATTATAAAACATTTGATAAAAATTCTTAAAACTAACTTTTATACATGAAGTACTGTATATTGATGCATATTACTTAAAATTCAAGATTATCAGTAAATTATGCATAAGTACAACTCATTAAAACTTAATGCTTGAATTTGTGTAACTAACTGCGGATAAATATAATCAAATAAATGATAAGCATCTCATTTTAAAATATAAAAAATCTAAAATATAATTAGAATAATTAGCGAGTTCTAACAAAATAATTAATTATTATCTTTATAAAAAAATTATATTATTAAAYCAAATATAAATTACTTCGTTAATACAAATTAAATTATAATAAAAAAATTGAATTAAAAACTACATAAAAATGAAGAATTTTAAATAGTTAATTTGACACTAATACCGATATATTTTTTGTCAAATTTTTATGATATTTTCAAATTTATATTTTATTAAAAAAATAAAAAGATCATTACTTTTTTCAAAATCACATTATAACATCGACGGAGATAAAGAATAAAGTAAAATATTAAAATCAAGATATATCTCGTTGCAATGCGCGAATACTCTTCTAATATATTTAAAACAAGTTTTATTATGTATGAAGTTTGAACATTTCATGTATTATATATAAAATTTGTTTTTATATTTATTTATCTTTTTTAATTATTTTTTACATGTCTGATCGTAAAATCGCAACGACTCTTGTGATCAAACAAGAAACGAACCAGAATGAATAAACAATAAGGTATTTTGGTTCAGTTTAATCGAATGAAACCTAAGTAGCTTTTTGTTTGTTTGGATTAATACGAAATGTTGTTTTAAACTAGTAATATTGAGTACGTGGTTATATATGCAAAGTAATCGTTTTATTCAGATATTTACCAAACAACTATATTTCATTAATAACCCAATCATATAGAAGGTTAAAAATGATAATTTATTATCATTCAAAACAGTTAACAAACAATCATATTTCATTATGCAATATATTATACAGAGTTTTTTAAACATTCTGACTATTTAACTATTTTTTATATCAAACCATTAAGCAACTGTCACTTATAAAAGGTTATCAAGGACTTAAGCACATGCTCGCTCGCAGAGACATTCCAATAATTATGAAGGCCCTGCTATATCCATAATTTTTTATTACATTGTAAATATGATGACAAATGATATATGTTTAGAATAAAAATGAGATAAACTCTAAAATGATTAACAATAACTTTTATATAATTTTGTATGGCGTGTGTGATGGCCCACTCAGAAAGTTGATATACCATGAAATTAAATCGAGACTGTATGCTGAGCGGATAGGTGACCACCGTACCAAGTAAAACTTCAAGGAGATCGACCACCTCGGTTTCTACAGAACCGCCCATTCTCCACCGTACTCAACGGTGTATCCGGTGTAGAGATCAGTCTCTTCTTCTCTTTAGGAGCCGTTGAAGCTTCGTCACGGTGCTGGTGGTTGGTGTTATCATCGATTCGTCGGATTATTTATTCGTAGTCGTCTAGAAATTTGATTTTCAGAAAGTATAATCAAGATGCCTAGGACTGCGTCAAAGAAAGGGCCAGCCAATTCCTCTAGTTCTTCCGCCGTTGATCTATTTCGCTCTGGTATTCCATAGATTCGTGCTACCGGACTCCCATTTTGCAAAATAGTTTCGTTTTCACCCTTTTTTTTTTATTTCGGAGTTGAATTTGAGGCGCATGTTACTGTTTTTTGACTACTTTTGTGGTGCTTTAAGTTCGAAGATAAGTTACGGATTTGGAATATCATACGCTGATCGAATGATGTTCTTCAATGGTGAACTGATTAAAAATTGACTTGGCCAGGGATCAACTTGAATTCCTGTAGTAGAATGTGGAAGACCCTGGGATAGTCCTTTAAAGTTCATTTGATTGTTCCGGACTTTCTTGAATGTTGAACATTGTATTTAGTTGTTTATATAAAGCTTATATGTCACATAATTACTGACAGCCTTGGTGTGCAATGTACAATGGAAAGTTCATATGATCAACCTTAATTAATTGCAAAGGAAAGAGCCAAAGAGGCCTTTAACTGATGAAATGTAGAGTGGGATTTGGTTAAGGTTCTGATCATCATGGTCTGGTTCAAGATTAACCTATTCTTTATCTATACACAGTCATGTTTTCACAGCATGTATGCTATTGATCATTAGTAGAATCAGCAGTAGCTTTATTTAAAGCCACATTCACATGTGTAAATACAATCATCATGGAGAGTGTAGATCTGTAGTAGGAAATTTGTTGTTTCTCTTTATGATGAAGAGTGAGCGAGTTTCATAACCATTGTACTTGTAGTTTCTTTTTTTTAATTCATCAAACTAACAATTCTTGCTAAAATTGAACAAAGTCAAAGCGAGTAATTCTAACCATCATACTTGTCAAAAACTCAAAATTACCTAAAGTAGCTCCCTTAGCATGCTATAGTGTTCCTTAGCATTTTTAGGAAAAATACAATAGTTAGATGCAACGAAATTACAAGTACAATGGTTAGAAAATTAATTTACTCTTGTGATAAGACATGGAGATGGGGGTGTCTTACTGTTTTGGGGGGGGGGGGGATCGAGGTTACCTATGAGGTATGCAAAAAGTTGGGAACCAAAGGTTTTATATAAGAAGATGTAACTTGGAATAAGATCAATATGTCTACCCTTTTTTTGCAACAGAAAGCGTATTCAATACAGTTTGGTGGCCAAAAACATAGCAACAGGTTAACTTCGGTATGTAGCTCATCTGTGAGAAGAGAGATTGAAGGGTATGTTTACATAAGCTAGTGCATGAACCTGAACAATTTCATGTATCATGTTGGGTCATAGGTTGCCCTGCTGGATGGAGGAACACATAGAGTGGACCAAAATAATTATATTAGGTCCATTTCCTTGTTTCACAGTGGCAAAATGTTCGGGCAGATGATATTACATTTGGATTTCATGTGTTGTGTTATGACGGAAGTCACTTTGCTGATAATGCCACATGGACAAATTGCAGGCTTTTGGTGAATATATGTGTATTAGTAAGTAGTGGTTATAAGAAGATTTGTACTGAGCTAAGATTAGCAACTGCAACATGTTTCCCTTAATACAAGCAAAGTAGTTCTTCACCCCTTCCTTGTTTGTTGATTAAGAGTTTACAAGAAAGAGGGACCAACAGATTGCATGAAGTAATGCTTATGAACATTGGTCCTTGAAAATTTCAAAGTGGTAGGAAGCTCTCAAGTTTATAAATTACGCCCAGGCATATATGGATTATGATCATACTTATGAAAGCTCTTTTAGAAGCTATGATGAGGCAACCACTGTTTTTCAGAGACGTTGCAAGTTATACTCAACTTAGCTTTTGTGTATATGAAGACTACTATATCCTGCACTGCTTGGATAGCTAAAGGATGAACTCTAAAGGTTCCCATTGGATAAGATAGAGCTAATTGTGTATTACCCTCAGATAAAGGGGATTTAAAGAATAATGCCAATGGGGCAGATCTTATTTGAAAGAAAGTTAGCAAAATGCTTGTAGGACTGTGATATTGCACTGGGTTGGCTACTCTCTGTGATCCCAGCTGCTACTATCAGATATCTATGACTGATTCTACAGCTCCTTCACACAGGGTATGGAGAGGGGATACCTAAAGAGAAAGTTAGGGTTCTTACTTCCAGAGTTCCAGCCTTCGTTCCTTCACTCTCCTAGGAACTAGGAAGGACTTTACCCCTCTATCTTATAGATGTAATAGGATTTAGAATTCTTCCTCTTAGAGCTTTTCCTCATATTGCAGTATTAGAGATCCATAGGCATGAATGCAATGTGCAGTATTTGTTGCATCTTTGTTGCCCATCCTTGTTCTGTGATATTGGTTGCCAGAGGTATGTGGCATCCTTCCTTACGATTTGAAATTCTATGTGACAAGTTGCTAAGGGTAACATCAGTGGTGCCCTTTAGAGTAAAGAAGCTGAAAGCGGATAGATCCACACTATCTGTGTGATAGTGAAAAATTAGCTAACCTTCCCCATTGCTAGATCTTTGGAGTGATATCTGCTCTATATGCCAAAAGCTGCTTTATGTATGCATTGTTTTGTTGCCCAACATAGATTTTATGCTTTGTCCATATTTGAGTAGAGGATAAGATGGCCGGAAACGTTATAGAAGCTGAATGATTTTGACTCCACTGTTTACTGTCTCTTATGCCTGTTTTTATACACTCCTTTCCAGATCTTTAAAACTTTCAAATTCTGTGACACAATTTATGTTTCTCTTGTGACTTTCCAAAACTATTTTATTTTTCACAAGTTGGGGTCCTCACGGAATCAGCCTCTTTACCTTTGATGTAGAGGAAAGGTCTATGTACATCCTACGCTTGATCCAGATCCCATTTCGAGTTGGATATACCGAGTACCTTTGGTTTGGTTTGGTTGGGCTGTTTTGGTTTGGTTTGGTTTGATTTGGTATATACATACATAATACATATATATACATATACATATATATATTAAAGAGCTATGCAAATTTATGTTGAACCTAATTACAAGTAGTACATAATAGCTTTGCTTGTTCAATGTATAGTTTGAATAAAAACTGTTATTGGGGCTGTAACTAGACATCCTTCTTCAAAACCTCCCCCTCTTTTTCAAACATTCAGACTTATTAGGTTTCACTTGTATAGTTAATCTTTTTTTTTAGCTTCAGGTAAAGCTGCTACGAAAGAGTTGGAACGTATCGATCAGCTATATTATTCCTATGCAAATAATTTATCTGGTATGATCGAGTAAGTGCAATAGTTTTACTTCACTGATTAAAATAATTGCAGTGGCATATAGTGATATAACTAAAAGTTAGTTTCTTCATGTGGAGTTGGTGAACTTTGCTTCTCTATTTTTGATGCACTCGTATTCATGAACAGTCCTGAAGGAATAGAATCTCTCTGTTCTGATCTAAAAGTTGATCATACAGATGTACGAATATTGATGCTAGCTTGGTAAGTTCCGTTGCATCCATCTCCATTTCTCATGTCTCATGATGCTTATATTACTGATTGGTCATTGACTTCCAGGAAAATGCAAGCTGAAAAGCAAGGATACTTTACCCTGGTAAGGAAAATTTGTATTTTCGTCATAAGTAATGGCATAATTTCAGCGTCTTCTTGACATGCCTTGTCTTAACACACTGTAGACCTTTGGTATCTAGTTTTATGGTTTCTGCACATGTATTAAATTGCTCTCTACATGCCACTTGTTAAAAGATTGTTGCATATATAATTATTACACTTTTTGATAAACATGACAAGTTTACCTCAATGAAAGAGCACAATCTTAGAAATGTATACTTATTCCACCGGTTGAATTTCTCTTTCTCGTCAACTCTTAAATATTTGTGTCATAACTAAGGGAGAAATTGGAAATTTAGTAAATTATAACTATCTATTTACGAAAGTGGAAACTTACTTGAGAACAACTTAAATAGAAATGTGGGCACTGATTTTGGGACAGAGGGCGTATATTGTTAGACCATACCAACTTCTTCCGAGGTTATATGTATTGCACAATAATGCAAAATGTATCACTTGACTCAGAGCACCTCTTAATCTTTAATTTATTTTGCTTCAAAGTATGGACTATGCATACATTGTATAAAGTAGCTAAGGGCCTCTTTGTTGGCAGCTTAATTAGCTTTATGGAATTCACAGCTTATTCGGTCAGCTATATTGTTTGGTTGTGGCTTAAGGATATAGAAAGTGGCTTATTCAATAAACTTTTAGGGGGAGCTTTATGCAAAAAGCCAAGTTTTTTTTCCCAAACCTGCTTCTCCCAATTAGAAAACACACTCCTTCCATCTATGAAAAAACCCTCTCAAACAACAACCTTACAGACAGCTTTATCCACATAGGACTTAATGAAAAACCAACCAAACAACCTCTAAATGAGAAAGTTAAATCTCAGATTCAGCTTGCTAATCATCTGGTGTGATAACCTTTTATTTTCCGGTTCTTCATAGGAGGAGTGGCGAAAAGGTCTCAAAGCATTGCGTGCTGACACTATAATAAAATTAAAAAAGGCACTTCCTGAGCTTGAAAAGGAGGTATGTAAACACACTAGCACATTTGTCTAAGTGGTGTGGAGTGTAAGGAGAAAGATGTGTGGATTGCTGATGATTTTTGTTTCTGTATTCTGAAAAAAGGTTCGAAGGCCATCAAATTATGTGGAATTCTATTCCTATGCATTCCGATACTGCTTAACAGGTATAACTAAATCCTGGCAGTTTTGTTGTCTAGTTTTACAAAACTAATAAATCTTCCTTTTAACCTTGAGGACTAGCTCAACCGGCAATTAAAGAGTATGCCTTGAGGGGTCCTCCTCATTGGTGCCCGGTTTGAGTCTCTTCAGGACTCTGGGGATTTTTCTGGTTGTTATCTTCAGTGCCCCATAAGATTAGTGGGAAAAAAGCTTCCCTTCTTTTGGATTGGTTTTCACATTGATTTTTATGCTTATTAGAGGAGAAGCAAAAGAGCATCGATATTGAAAGCATATGTGAGCTATTGGAGCTCGTTTTGGGGTTGCAGTTCCGTCCTCAGGTGGATCTTTTTGTTCAATATCTAAGGGTGAGCTTTGTTTTCTCACGTTTCTGTTTGCCTTAGTAGCTCTCAACTATCGTAGCTAGTTGTCTTATATTTCAATTGCGAATGTAGCTTATGAATGCCAACCATCATCCACAAAACATCATAAATAACGCAGAAAACAACCATCACAAAAAAAATTAAGGAGATAAAAAGAAATGGGTAGCACTCAAATGACTGATTCTGAACATCTGAATGTGATTCTTTTAGAACAATGACAGTTCCTAATGATTTTTTAGCCATTTTGCAGACGCAGATTGATTACAAGGTCATAAACATGGATCAGTGGATGGGTTTCTACAGATTCTGCCAGGAGGTGATCACATTTAGTTACTGTTTAATAATTACCTTCTACCCTGGTTCCCAAAAGTGAGACTGCACCGGTCCGGCAGTCCCCACTGATTATTGATAATCACCTCTTAACCAGTTTTTCCATGGATACGTTCCTGCCGGTAGAGGTGTGGATGTAATCCATATGAGTGAGGTCCCGGGTTCGACCCCAGGCACCACTTCTCTGCCTACGGGATGCATGCGCGATTTACCTCCGCCATGATGGCCGTGGGACTGGTGCAGTCAGGGCGCTCTAGAACTTCCATAATACACTATCAGATTGATTTTATTACTAGTTCAATTTTTCATCATTACAGATAAGCTTCCCAGATTTCAGCAACTATGATGCCGAACTTGCTTGGCCCCTGATTCTAGACAATTTTGTTGAATGGGTGAGGTCAAAACAGACCTAATCGAGTTTCCATCGAGCAGAATCGGACCTCTCTGTCTCATTGATCGTACCCAATATTTGCGCAGGTACGTATTTTAATTCAGGTTCACTTTTCAAAATGCTTTTCTGATCATCGGGTTTCTCACTAATACACAGGATCCTGATCTAACGATACATATATTGCATGGAATTTTGTTTATGTTTGTTCATGAACACTTTCTCTGTCAAATATTCCTATTCTTGTACTTAATTTGAAATCTTAAAAGAGACGAAATAGGCTTGATTTTTGTTAGGATCGGTGTTCTAAAAGACTGCAACGTGCCGTGGCACAAGGCCCGTCTCGATGTTGATCCCCATGGCATGCCATGGCTCGATGTGCATGTTTATTGTAAGAATTATTTGATCTCTTTTTTTTACATCTTGTTAGTATATAAACCAAGTTTTTATGATATTATATTAATTTAAATTGTTCAATATCACTGAGTAATAGTTGAAAACATGTGTATATAACTATATATAGAGGGCCTTCTTTGAGACTCATAAAATTGTGATAATATTGAGAACTAGTACATCATATGCTATTTCATATGATTTCTTTTCATCCAAGACTAGCATTTAGAATATTGATTAACATATATTTCTTTCACAATGTGAGCCTTTTTAGCCTGTTTGTAAAACAAAAGTTACACGTAAAAAAAATTCACATTGTGAATCGCATACATATGAAACAAAGACATTGTGAAACAAAGATATGTTCATAAATACATTAACTGTTAGTCTTAGATGAGAAAGAATCATGTGACACAATACCTTCAGATAAAAGTTCTCACGGTTATCACAATTTATGGAGTTCTTAAATGGTTAAGCTCCTATATATATAGATAGATAGATTTGCCTCTATAAGTCAAGCCATGAAAAACGTTGTGGCTACTAAGGCTTGACCTCACAGTTACACCATGCCTCACACAATTTAGAACCTTGGTTAGGATATGTGGAACTCCTACATAGATATATTACACACACACACRCGAGTATAATAATCCGTGTCTGGACAATATGGGACTTCAATAAACCCCCTCAAACAGAGGCGATAAAAAGAGCCCTAATAACATAGGTGAAAGATTGTGCCGAGTCCCTAGGTGGTGCTAAGCCCTAGTTCTGATACCATGTGAGAACATATGGAACCCCTTTGAACGAGACATGACATAACAAAAGCTTGTCTCACATTTGATGCAAAATTAATTAAAATAGCTATTTCCGACTTTTGGTTTCACCTCTTAGCCAATTCTCTCCAGGAATTACCAAAATGTCACCCAGTCCGTAAGTGGCAGGTCCGCAATTTGCGGAGGTGTCAAAAGTGTATAAAAAGGAAGTGTCTAAACCAGGTCCGCAATTGCAAAGACCAAATATGTAAATTAGGTATAGGTCCGCAAAATATGTCCGTAACTTGCGGATGTGTTTTTCTAAATCTACATATTTGGTTCTCGCAATTGCGAATCTGGTTCAAAAGCTTTTTTTTTTTTTACACTTTGACCCATCCGCAAATTACAGACCTGCCACTTACGGACCGAGTGACGTTTTGATAATTTCAGAAGAGAAATGGGTAAGAGGTAAAAGTATTCTGTGATGGAGTTGCCATTAATCATGCAGTTGTGTACTTACCAAATGGAATCCTATGTTGGTTGAATAGATTAGATATAAGTGGGGTCTATGAAACAGGCTTTCTATGGAGTTGCAAGCAAACAAATATATGGTGTTTTTTGTTGTTATTAGTGGTATTAGAAAAGCTGTTATTCGCTACTACTATTATTATGTCCTCCTGGTCCCAACCTGGGTAAAAGAATGACATCTATTCTTTATGTTATTCTTCTTACAAACACCTCCTCTGATCTATTCCACCAGTTGATGGATGCACACCCTCTATCTATCTCTCTCTATATATATATATACACACACACATACACAAAGAGTCAAGAGTGATTGTCTGGTTCATACAAAAACAGTAATCAAATAAAAGAATAAGGAAAAGGTTGAATTACATATGCGATTCTATACTAAAATCATATGTGATTCATGCAATTTGAGGTCCCAGACCATGTTGTTTGTTCTTTTATTTAGTGTAGAATCACATGTGATTTGCCGTTTTCGTGTTCTTTTGTTTAGTTATTGTTCTCGTTTATCTCTCTCTCTATATATATATATATTATATATATATATATATATATATTAGAAACCAAGTAACCATCTTTTTTTTGCGTATTCATGATGAATAACGTGATAAAATATTCATGATGAATGTCGTGATAGATATTCATGATTAATAATATTCACTATGAATACTGAAAAAAATGGTAGTTCATGGGTTCCTAAAGTATTTAGCATTCTTAGATGAACATGCCCCTATATATAGGGTCAAATTCAGAGGAAAACCGCAACGGAGTGAAAAACTGAGGAACACTCTAGTAACTGTTCATCTTGACGGTATGCACATGTGTGTATAAGTAATTTAAAAGCAATTTGTCTGGTGTGCATAACATGCACACATGAGTAAAACCAAAAAACAACTTCAATTACTTGTATGCACATGTACATACCTTTCAAATAAATAGTTATCAGAATGTTTCTCAATTTTTTTTTTAGGGTTTTTCCTCAACCTCCCTCCTTCTCTCTCTCTCTCGAGATAGAGAGATTGTGAAATTCTTCAAATTAGAAGAACTTCAAAGAAACAATTACACTAGAGAAATAATATTTTAATAATATAATTATTATTAAAATTAAAAAATGTTAAGATTTTAAATTTTAATTTTCGATTTTAGGATTATTTTTGAAGAATCATTTGCTTTTTTTTTTAATAAAAGAAAAGGAAGGTGTTCTTTTCTGTACATAACCCTAATATATATCTTGTCCATGAAGCAAATCATTGTACTACATTTCCATCAATTATGTCTTATTTCAATTCACAATTTAAACACGATTTTTCCCTAAAAAAATATAAATTATTTTAAAGTAAACTATAAATTTGGTCCATGTGGTTTATTTGAAATAATATTTTTGGTTGAGTAAATTGTATGAAAAAAGTAACGTACCTTAACTCGATTCATATTTTAGGTAATATATTTCCAAAACTTTCATTTTGGTACATACGATGTAAAGTTTTAAACATTTAAAGATTAAAAAATTCATGTCACTAACCACGTCAACAAATAATACTGAGTTGGATATCACATCACTGGCCACATCAGCATAATACCTTATAATTTTACTGAATATTTTAATTTTAATGAAAATAATTATCTTTTTATTTAAGTTGCTTACAAATATATCAGGAAAAAAGTGAATGTTTCTCTCTCAATCATCGAGATATCCCAACCGAAAGGAATATAATTCTCTCATTCCACATGGTACAGATACACCAAAAATGGAGAGATGCACCAAAGGATCGAATCTAGATTGAAGACCAGACCTAAACTGATTGGGACTAATAGGTCTGGTTGAAATATGATTGAATATAATTAATGTTAGAATTGCTAAATTAAAGTATCTATTATATAAAATATATTAATAATATTATATACCGGGTACGGGGCGAGATGGCCTGGCGGGGGATACGTTACCCAGCCCCGGTTTGAGTCTACTGGGTATCCCCGACGCCAGTCCAAAGACTCGTTTTAGCGGGGAATCTCCGTCCTCGTTCGGGTCGGGTGAGCCTGGTTCCCCACGATCGGGCCAAATCACCATCTCTATTTCTCGAATATAGTTATGTGTTTACCTATTTGCTATTTTTTTTTTGTTAACCGTGGATGTCAGAGTCAGCTAGTGTGCATCTCGACTGATTCTAGAAATCCTGAGGAACAATCAGGAAAATCCTATGTAATTTTACATGAACTGAACCGATGACCTTGAGGAAAAATCCCTAAAAGCCAATTATTTGCTATCTTAGTAAATGAAGTGAAACAGTTGAATTGTTATTTCTGAATTTAGAAAATAATAAGTGTGTAGATGATTAATGTAGGAATGATTGACAACTTTCAATGGAAATAGTTAAACATTGAAGCACAAATCTTTAAAGCCAAGCCACCCAAATTTAAAGGTGTAGTTGTATATTTAAAGCACTCCCTCTCCATTCTATTATAATAAACAATATTTGTTGGTTTGGTTGGTATCTTAATATATTATAATATTGTTTTTGAATTGAAGTTGACTAGACTGTTCTGTTTCGTTTTTGTTACGATTAGAATAAGACTAGACAATATGAATTTATAGTGTTTGATAAGTTGAACAATGTATACTAAAGGGTCTTTGACCTAGCAATATTGTAGTCTTTCGTCTTCTATGATGTCAGGGATTCAAACATTATCAAATGTGAGGAGGGTGGTGTGAGGTTATTTGTTGCATTTGTCGTATATAAATATTATATACTTCAAAAAAAAGTTGAACAATACATTATAAATAAATTGATGTGATCATATTGTCTATTAAACGTATCTGATCGGAAATTAATACTCGTAGTGAGTTCACGATAATGATTGTAAACCTTAAACTGGTACATGAAGCCATGTTCAAAGTAACATAATAAATGACTAATTTAAATAAAAAAGAATTAGAAACAAATACCGTCATGGGCAAAGCAATGAGAGGGAGGTCGAAGACGGAGTAGGCGAGAGGGAAACAGAGCAGATGGCCAGATGCCATGCCACGATGACATAGTCACGTAGCAAACAAAATAGCTACAGTGCAACGATCAATGAAAGGGGTGGGCTAGGCTTTTAAATAAGACATGGATAGTTTGGTAATTTTCATATAGTAGTGTATTCGTACTTTTTTTGTGTTGCAACTATTTTCATTTGTTCCACCTATTTTCATGTGACAAAAAGATGCATAATTGTTTCACACAGTCCCATCCATTTCTAGTCTCATATAGTGCTTGGATAACGAGTTTTTGTTTTGTTATGTCATGCATAACAAATGCATCCTAACACTGTTATTTACAAAAGGTTTTGATTATTATAATTTAAGTTGCAATTATCGGTTTATAGTATTCAGTTAACTTATCTTTATGAGCTATTTACCAAATGTTTACCGAACAAAGTCAAAACCCTCACTTACTTTATTGGATAACATTCTTAATCATCAAAATGACTTACTTTATTGGGTAGCATTCTCAATTATTAAAATAAATTATTGATAAGTGTCTCTTTTGCGGTAAACACTGAGTGGATAAGTCTTTTCCCGAGTAAGATTATCAGACATTGTTATGTCTCTTACCTGATAAGATTATTGATCGTTATCAATCTTACTCGATAAAGTAAATGACACCTGATACACGTTTATCTGGTAAGTATTTAGTAAACAATTCCTTACTTATGATTATTTAATTAGTTGGAGGTTAAGTAATCAAACGTTAATTGATGTATCATGGTTTCTACATTTGGTTATGTTGTTATGATTACTAGTGTTTGACACCATGCGTTGCATGGTGACAATAATCTTTTTTAAAATTACTGAAGTTAGCTAAATGAATCGATGATTATATTTATATATCAAATTAATAAGAATCAATATTACCTTTGATATATGAATCCACCTTATCATTATTGGTTGTTCTTTTAATAT